AAACAGGCCCACCATTTCATTCTCCAGAAGCTCGGGCACCTGGTCTCCGCTGCACCTCCATGCCCCAGCTCTCAATAGGTCCAGACCATCACGACCCAATCAAAGCTGATGGAAAACAAAGAGGCTCCATTAATAGAGCCGTTTCCATCCCCCCCAGCCAAGGACCTGGCCCTCTGGGAAGCTGGCATCTGTGCCAACAGAAAATGAGATTCACCAGCCCAGACACAGCATCACTTGTTCTCTCTTCCCCCCAGGAGGATTCTGAGCCAAAAGGCCAAGGCCGTTTCACTCAGAGAGTGTCAATGCAGCCAGCAAAATCTAGCAAAGCTGGGCATGGCCAAGCCTTTGATACACTGACCCAGCTGCCCAGATACAGCACTATGCAAACTGGGTGGGAATGTTTGTATTCTAGCAATAGCTTACATGAGCCCTACTACAAAAGGCACCTGCGTAGCAGGCCGTCATTGAGAGGAAAACAAAAGAAACCTCCGCTGATGCAAACACACACAGGGTATTTTCTTGTGTGTGTAACAGCTCTCGCCAGGCTGAAGCCGTTGGTGGGTAACTCTGTACCATCCCATCAGTCCAGCCTAGACCTCACCTGGGCTGTAAACAGCAAGCCCTCAGTCCATCTCTTACTACAGCATAACACCCTTTCCTGTTCTCAAAGCACTTCACTAGCTATGCACACAGCACCAGAGCACTGCAGCTGTCTATGGGGTAGAGGAGAGCAGCCCAGGAGTAACAGCACAGGCGAGGAAGTGGGAAAGGGTTTTTGGTCAAGGACCCTCAGGAAAATCCCACATTGTTTGAGGAGTGCCCCCGGGGTGTTTGGCATCTGTGAAAAGCAGCCCGATAGTTCAGAGCCGACTCGCCCCACTGCCCCCATCCTTCCTGCATTTTGCTTCAGCCCCCTCTGAAGGCCAGTGGCTTTTGCTTAGTGACAGGCACTGTTAAACCCTGCCAGGGCCAGTCCTGTGCCTTACCTGGGTACAGCACCCGACTGATCATCCCAGGCATGATGATAACAACCAGAGGCAGCATTTTCAAGTAGCTGGCCAGGATGGAGCCGGCCTTGGCGTGGTTCAGGTTCTTGGCAGAGAGAGACCTCTGAACAATGACCTGCAGAAGTGCGAGAGGAAGGGAAACATGAGCAGCTCCCAATGGCTGCAGCCAGGCCTGGGTTTCTGTCCCTGCTCAAGTGCACCTGAGTTCACATCCCAAACACCTGGGGACAGTCAGTGCCTGACCCAAATGCAGCTCAGGGCCTTATATCCTGCAGGCCTGTCCAGACAGGAATTGCTCCCTCCTTCCTTTCCACTAGAGAAGCCTCACACCTCCCTTGGTAAAAGTCCCTGGAGACTTCAGCTCTCAACATGCCTTCCATTGAGAGGAAGAAAGAGTGGGACAAGCCGGGGCCTGTGGTCCCTGCAAGCTGTGCCCTGTATCAGAGCAAGCGGGAAGCTAGTGTCTGCTCTGGTCTAAACCAATGAGTGTGAAATCGGGGCACAGAGGAAGCTGGGACTGGAACGGACCTCTGGGGTCACCAAATCCAGTCATCTGCTCCAGCAGACACCCACATCAGGTAATCCCTCTTGTACATGCACCCAGCTTCCCAAGCAAACCATGGGTAAGTGAAACCACCACAGTCCAGCCTATGGTGAGCAAACAGCAGGGCTTGCCGTGAGTGTGTGGATGACAGGAGTCCGCACCTGTCCCTAATTTGGCCTGGTGTGACCTGTCTGCCCTATTCACACAGCCTGAAAATGCTGAGAGTCCCCAAAACTGGGAGAATCTGCTGGTACTGGCTGCAATGGATGTAGGAGGAGACAGCACAAGAGAGACTCACAAAGCATTGATCCCAAGACCCCGGGCAGACCCTGTGCATGCAGCCTCACATGCACAGGACCATGCAGAGACGGGGAAACCAAGGCGGGGAAGTTAAGCATCTCAGCCAATGTCTCTGAGCAAAGCCAGGGATACAAACCAGCTCAGCTCCCCTGCCACCCTCCCTTCAGTCCAGGGGTGCACAGGCACTTGCAGTGGCAATCACCCCACCAGCACAGGGTAGGGCTTGGGACACAAGCAGACAAGGCTTTGAGCAAAGCACAGAGGAACAGAGGTTCAGTTCCTGCTCTGCCAGACTTCCTATGTGAAATCCCTGAACCTCCCCACCCACGCACTGGGCAGCCCCAAACTTGGGGCTGTGGTGAGGGCAGACATGCTGCGAGGTCGCCGGGCACCACAGTGGTGGGCCTTGGCCCTGGAAAGTGCAGAACACCGACTGAAGAGCTGCCCTGCAGTAAGCTAGCATGCCACGTTCATGAGCTCAGAGACTCATGCGGGAGGACCTGTTTGCTGAGGGTGGCATGGCTCATTGCCTAGGATGCCAGCGACCCATCTGCATTATCTAAATATTTGTCAGTGCCATCCAGTGCCCCAACCTGCTTGCGGCCTTCTCGCCCCTGCCTTGGGCACCTCCCTGGGATGGTTTATTTTGCACGGATCCACCTCCAAGTGTCCTAACATGCAAGTGCTTGGCAATCCAAGAGGGACCCCCCAGGACTCAGGGCCCTGTCTTGCATTGCCTTCATCAGGTGAAGCAGCCATGAAATGCTGCCACTGCTGGGAGCAGAGGGATTCTGATGTGAAAGGATTTTCTCAAAGGTGCCAGTGACAAAAACTGGTGGATGTCAGGAGAATATGGCCCCTTGAGAGCCATTTGAGAGCAGTGGCTGCGGAGAGGCTCCCAGCAGCCTGGTTATGGGCCCATTTAACTCAATTGAGTTGATTCATGCAATGTAGGGCACTTAAACTGGCCTAACCCTTGCCTACACTCCATGGAGCATAATTCAGTAGGTCAGACTCAACCTTCCCAGTCTAGACCAGGCCTCAGTGTGTGGGAGTCCACAACAAGGTCATGATGGTAGGGGGGCATCAGGGTATTCACCTAACAGAATGGAAACAAAGACAGTGCCATCAGGGGTGTGACCACAGCCCACATGGGCATCCTTGAGCCAGTTTTCCTGCAGCCGCACAGCTGTAGCTATTAAGGCTACAGGCAAGGAGCACATACCCTGGTCTCAGGTGGGCTTGAGATGCCTTTGCTGTAGCCTGGACAGCTCCAGCCCCCCAACCACTGGGGTCTGTGCTCCAGCACTGTGCTAGGTGCATGAGGGGTGCCAGTGAGGCCCCAAACTGGACACAGCTGTGCCCAGAGGAGAGACAGTCCACCACCTTATCTTGAGTCGCTGCAGGAGGTAGGAAAGCTTCCGGGACAGAAACCCCCTTTGATGGTGCATGTTGCGCCGTCACAAAATGCGTGATAGCAGCAGAGGCTCCGTGTCACAGACAAGCCCTGAGCCGGCTGGGTCAGAGCTAACCTGGGTATGCCGACATGGGGCAGTCACCCCAAAAAGGAGGCAGATATCTGGTGGGCAGAGCCATGTAAGGACTGGACTAGTACTAACAAGCCCAGGCCCACTCTAAGCCTACATGCTACGTCCGTGAGGGGATGGACCTGCCTTAACCCACTGCTGACCTGAAATGGCCACATAGAGGATCACAGTGAGTGGTCAGGCAGCTGTACGCAGGCAGGACGGCAGGGTGCCCACGGGGTCCTAGGTAATGCTGGGAGCTTCCAGGGGAAAGAGCCTGTTTTACCAGAAGACAAGTAATCACAGGTGCAGCGACCAGAAAAACTGGGTGAAGGCTCAAGTCGTTCTCTTGCTAACTGCCCCAAACCGAGGAAAAAATCTAGCTGGGGAATCCTGAAGGAGGAATGGGACAGGTAGCATGCAAGTAAACTATACAGCGCAGCGATTGTCAACCAGGGTGCCACAAGATCCTTTTAACAGCACCACAAAATATCACCTACACGAGCCAGAGATTTCACGTAGGAATCCAGAGTGCCAGAAACATTATGGCCTACCAGGGTCTTCCCAGGATGAATTGTTCTATTATTTTTCAGTAGGAAAGGAGTGAAAGCTGAGAGCTGGCATTATTTGGGGAGGGGGGCGCTTAAGTCTAACAAGGGGGTGCCTTGAAACTGAAAATGTTGAGAACCACTAATGCAGAGGAACTTCAGGGAGAGTATATGTACAGCTGACTGTGATCACACCAATGCTGTTGTCTCTCTGTGCACCCCACCCTCCTCTCACAAACAGGGACCACACCTCTTCCCCTACAGATCCAGAAACCCGGCATGCACAGGACGGGGCAAGGAGAGCATCCCCTCGACGAGACAGGAGAAAACTCCAGGAGCCAGCAAAGGACCTGAGGTTGAAAAGACCCCTGCGGCCCCAGGCAACCGGCTGTACTGGCAAAGCAAACGCTTCGGCTCCAGCAACAACCACCTCTCTCAAAGCCACCCCAGAGGCACTGGCAAAACCCTGCCCTTGCTCCCAGGATGCCAGAGGATGGAGGATGAAGTGAGGACTCCCCTTGGCATCCCCTTATCCAAACTGTCGCAGACCAAGCACCTCAAGAACAGGGCAGGGGGAGGCCCGTGGGCTGCCACTGACCCCAAGCAGAAGCCCCAAGGGACTAGGAGCCACAAGAACAAGTAGGTAGCATCGAGTGGACCATCTAGTGCAAGTATTTCAAAGCCTGGCACCGGGGGCACGGCCTGCAGAGGGGTGCCGCGTTACATGGGGGAGGGGAATCTGTTTCCATTTACCTGGTCAGTGCACCAGTACCATGTGGCCAAGACAGACAGCCCAAACGTCATGCCAGTCCAGGGCAGATCCCCGGAGACCGGATCTCGGAAGAGGTGCATGGCATCAGCTCTGGGCAGGTGGCATGTGGTATTGGGGATGATTTTGGCTGGGACTGCCTTTAGATAAGCTTCTTCTAGGTTCTGGTACCCCCCGATCTCACCGAACGCTGGAAGGAAACAAAAGGAGGGAGGCTGATCAGGGCAAACTGAAATGCAGTTACTGAGTAGATCAGCTGAAAACCATCACAAATGGCCCCTTGAGAACATGCCCTCCCTCCCTGCTCTGCTTCCCTGAGAGGCAGAACCACTACAATGCCCTCCCCTTGTCAGATGGCACCATATTCTTATTTAAAAGAGAAGCTCTTCCAGGACCACTTTGCACAGCTGGTCCTATTAGACTGCTGCTCTCTCTCAGGATATACCCTATGTCCCAGGGGCTCCTGGGAATGACCCCTTTCCTGCTTCTGTACTGTAAAAAGCATTGCTTGTATTAAAGCACAAAGGTTCTCGGGGAGCTGGGGCAGCCCTGAGGAAATGTAAGGGGCAGGTGATGGCAGGAGCTGGCATGACCTATGACAGGCTGAGATGCTGCTGGCTCTGAGGCAGGATGTTTTTCCCAGGCCCCATCACCATAGTTGGGCAGCTGCAAACAAGCGCAATAACAACTCACATCCTCAGGGTTTATGGGAAGTGGCGTCAGGCCTGTGAAAAGGATGCAAGCCCTACAGCTCGTTGCATGCCACAGGCAGGCAAGACCAAGTCAGCCCGGCTGTATAAACAGGAAAGCGCACACAAGCGCTCTGCTCCCATTGCTGCCCACCGGCTCCACACCTCTCCCACAGTGAGACCTGCTGTGGCAGCTACCTTGCAGCTTTACAACAGCTACAAGCTGTACACTGTACTGCCCTTTGCAGCCGCATGTGATGCTGCCAGGTATCCAGGCTCAGTGCTCTTCTTTGCGCTGGAGAGGGAAGGGCAGGATGGACACTGGATGCTGCTTGCAGTTGCACCAGCGCAGCTCCATTAAAGCTGGGGAGTTTGGCTAGTGTAACTGGGAGGAGAATCTGGCCCCAGCTCCTCTGGGAAGGCAACACACCTGGTTTCCAGAGGAAGGGAAGAAAATACTGGTCATCAGCCTCTCTGTCTCCCCCAACCTTTTCTGCATAGCTGATCTGCACACACGGCTGCCTGGCCTGGCAGCTCTCAGCCTGGGCACGGCAGGTGTGTTGGCACCACATACTCACCATGAGCCATTACCAGAGGGGAGGAGGGTGCCGGAGTGGAGGGGAACAGTGGGCTGGGTGGAGGAAGCAACCCCGTTATCAAGGGCTGGGCAAGCCCAAGCCCAGACATGCAAGAAGGGCGGCTTCCAGCACAGCCGGATGAATAGGCTGGGTGGGGCAGGGAAGCCTCTGGGCTTTGCCTCTCAGGCTTTTCCTCTGCTCCATGGTTCTGCTGCTCAGCGAGAATCAGAGCTGGGCCTGGAGCTGGCCCCAGCTCTGCTCCAAGTCTGGGAGCTCTGGGATGACCTCGGGTCTTTGGCTGCTGGGCAAGTGCTGCACAGGCATTTCCCCTCTTGTCTGTAGTCCCTCCTGTGCCATCTAAGGGGGCACCTCTGTGAGACTGGCCTTCACTGGGATGGTGTCTACTTGGGCACTGTTCTTAAGTGCCCATCCAAAATGCAAGGAACAGCAGACAGCCCCAGGTAGCCCCAAAATCCCAGTGCCAAGTGAACTGGTTACCAGCCCATGCAGCGATCCTCTGGACCGCAGCTGATCTTGAGAGTGAGATGAAGGGCCTGGCATCTGCTGGGGCTGCCCAGGTAGCTACGCAGCTCCGGGGTCCTGACACTTTGGCTCAGAAGAGCATTCAGCCTGGGCTCTATGAGTTCCCAGCCTGGTGCTCTCAGTTACTGAAAGTGTCACCATCAGGTAACATGACAGCCATGAGCACAGACTCCCTAGGGTCTCCTGCAGCATGGGGATCTCTGAATGGGCTTCACCCTGAGAGACAGACCTGCACCAGACCTCAGATGCAAAGACCCTAGAGCTGGGAGGTGCTCAAAAGGCAAAGCTGAAGTTTGCCAGTGGCATCTATCTTTGCAAGAGACCAAGGCAAATTCCCCAAAGCAGGGATGGGGAGACCAGAGTCCTGACCTCCATCTGGGGCTTGAATCTGTTATGGTCTTTTTTGTAAGATCTCACCCCCCAAATAAGCATGATTCTTCCCCAGAGGCCTCCCTGGACCCCTTCCCTTTCAATCCGCCCACCACGTAACCAGCTTCCAGCTTTGTGATCAATGATCATCATCTCCTGCCCAATGTCATCCCAGGGGGACGTGTTCAGGGATGGGGACTTCAGCCATCTCGCATGCAGCTGCAATGCACCGCTCTGAAAATAGGCTCATCTTATTTCAGACAAAACCTGGAATTGCAAACTCATCCTGAACCCATGCCAGGAGCACTGGCCACCTTCCCTGCATGGCTGGTAGAGGCACACCTGATCCCTGGGTTCGCACAGGTGTCGAGCACTCTAATAGTGGAGGGGCAGCTAGCGAATGCCGAATCACAAGAGGAGGAACGCAGATGTATTTAGGTTACTGGGGCCTGCAGGGGATACAAGGGCATGGTTTTGCAAGTGCTGACACCTGCCTTTGCAACCAGAGGCAGGCTGGGTAAGAAGAGCAGCTGCAGGGAAGGAGGCTGTGAAGCCCCTGGCCCCCATACCCACGCTAGCAAGTGCCCCCAGGTGCATGTCAGGGTGGCAAATGCCAAAAGTGCTGAATGATCCTAACGTGCCATGGTAACTGAGCCACAACAAGGGCGTGGGCACGACAGCACGTTTGTTCTCACCTGCGGGCAGAGGCAAGCTCCATCCCAGCCAGTGCTGAGGGGCTGAGCAGGCCTGGCACACGTGAGCCAGCCCTGGCGCTGCCGAGAGCAATCCCAGAGCCGAGCCCTGGCTGTCTCCTCCTGGACTGCTACGGCACTTAGACAGTGCGTCACGGCAGAGGTGGCTGTGAGAGGGGAAGCAAATCAGGTCCACAGCCCAAAGAGGCGCACCAGATCCACAGCCTCTTCTGAGACAAAGGACCCTGGCGTGTAGCATTTGTGCCACATCCCAATGGGACTGAACCTCTGGCGTCAGAACAAAGAGCAGGCACCTCTCCCATGGCAATAGCCCTGGACTCACCCCCCTGGCATGATCTAGTCATTACAGAGAGGCAAAGAGCTACAGCACGTGCAGGGGTGACTTGGATGAGTATTAGCTTTACACAGGCCTTCCTGCTGTTCCTCCGCCATGATCCCGCTGGTGGCCACTAGCCTTGAAGAACCTCCTTTGTTGCCACTGAGCAATACAGGGGCACCCCCAGCTCCGACTTCTCCATCGGGGTGCATCCTCAGCCACTTCTAACAGCAGACGCAGGCCTGCCTCCTTTTGCTTGGCTCAGTTCTGGCTTGGGTGCTTTATTCCTATTCCCTACCTGTTGGGAATAGTCCTTCCACGTCTGGTAACACGAAGGCCTCTCCTATTGCTGGCCTTACATGTTATCTGCGTACATATGCTGCGTGGGAAACGGGCCAGCCAGCAATGGGCGCCGCATGTACAAAGCGCTGCTGCAGCAGCAGATCTGGCTCCTCTTCCTCCTTGAGAAACCCTGTGCAAGGCACTTGGGTCAAACCTCTTTCAAGCTTGGGTGCCTCAGCCAGCTCTGCTGCATGCGGTGGGTGCCCAGCACGTTGGCCGCCAGGTGAGCGACGAAGGGGCCTGACTTCGGAGTTGGGCGCGCTCCAGGCCTCGGTCACCTCTGTGCCGGGAGAGCAATGACACTTCCCTACCTCACAGGGATGTTGTGAGGCTAAAGCCTTTAAGGCCCGACAGAGACCAGCATCCTTACATCCATTACTTAACGAAATGACATGAGGGCAGCCCCGTGGGAGGGTGACACTTCTGCCTTGGCTGTGGCTGCGTGCGTGTCCCTCAAGGAAGCTGCTCCCTGGCTCAGGTCCCACCAGCCAACACCAAACAGGCAACAGCTGGGAATTCCCTGGAGCAACGTCTGACTCCAGGTTTCCCTACAACTCAAATTGCAGGGATACTCCGGAGGGCTGGCGGTATGGATGAAAGAGCAGGAAGGTCGCTAGTGATGGACTGCACCCCTAGGCCGAGGGCTGGCAAGAAGCCTAGGCACCATCACAGCCTGTGGGGGATTTTAATTTATATCAGTGAAAAGGGGATGCCGGGGGTTTACCTTTCACAGCCAAGGTGACCGCGCCAATGACCATGATGAGGGTCTGCAGCGCATCGGTGTAGATGACGGCCGCCAGGCCACCTGCGCGAGAGAACCAGGCACAGCGTCAGGGTCTCGGTCAGGACTGGGCCAGGAATGGGCTTTGCAGTAACTGTACAATAAAGCTAATGGTTCTTATGGAGATGTTTCTGTGGGTTATTGCCCCCCACAACCCACCACAGGCTTCCCAACGAGGACAGGGCCTGGAAAGGCCTTTACTGAAGGAAAACAGGAGGACCAGCTCCGTTCACTTCTGTGCAGCGAGGGGATCACAGGCGTGAGGTGAAGGGGGAGGGGAATGGCTTCGAGGAACCAGAGAGGCCACGATTCAAGGTGGCGGCCGGGCTGGGCCCCAGAGCGCAGGGCACAAGGTCGCTGGACTTCCAGGCACGAGGCAGGGGCAGCACCAGGCCTAGTCATCTGCACCGGGCAGAAGTCTCCAGCCTTCAGCACACAGGGTTGGGAGGCAGGAGGAGAGACTCAGGGGCATAGTAGGGACACGTGCTTCAGCCAGCAAAGCAGGAGCTTTTTGCTGGGCTTGTGGTTGGATTCGATGATCTCAAGGTCCTTTTCAGCCCAAAGACTCCACGTTAAGACCTTCTTTCTTTGCCCCATTTTAAAATATTCCAGCAGATGGGCTCCTC